TTTCTCTTTTTTAAGGAATCCCTGCCTTAGAAAAAATGATGGAAACACCAAACTAACACCACCCCGTTATATAAATTCAAGATCTCATAATGAACTCATCAAGAAAAATAAAAAAAAATATAAATAATCCAAAAACAATATATACTTGTAAATTTTTTTTTTTTCTTTATTTTTTTTATATTTACTAAATATAAAAATAAAAAAATATAAAAATTGTTTTATACAACTTATAGTATGATTTGAAAATTATTAAACAGATCTTATAAAATGTTTACACCTATATAAATATTCATATTATTCCACAATGAATTTAATTTATACATATTTTCTTTTTCTTTTATCAATATTTATGAATTCTAACTAGTATTAACAATTTTACACAATATTTCTGCGTATATATATATTTACATTCTTCAAAAATATCTTTAATTTATATACATGTTTCTATTAACAATCATATACTAAACATACCGTGATTATACGGTTTCATTCATTTCTTTTCGAAAAAAAACAATATATATAAAAAAACTCCCTAACCAAAGAGCAAACAATTGAATAGAACAGAAAGAAAAAAAATTGAATAAAATTAAAACCAAAACAAGTCCAGTGATTACTCCGGAATATTATTATTTAATTAACGTAGGAACAATATCAGTGAGACTACAGATTTTAAGAGAAAAAAAACCAAAAAAAAAAAAATTGTAGCACTAATAACAAAAATAAAAAAACCACCAAAAAAAAATCAATTATAAAAAAACATTTAATTTTTAGCAGTGAAACTTAGCTATCGCATTTAAATTTGCTATTTGCTCACATAGCCTACCTTACAGCCGCAGAAATGACGTCACTCCAGCCACTGCTGATCTAGCTATAAATTACAAACTACAAACAAATAAGTAAAGAAATAAATATATATATTGGTTATTATAAAGGATTTTCTTTTTCTTTTCTTTTTTTTTTTTTCTGTTCTGATATTTCTATCACTTTGGTACAATATGTATAATTCAATATGTTTACAATATGTATAATATGTATAATTCCTGGGAGTGACGCAAAAAAAAATTATTGTAATAATCAAGTCACTCAAATCAGTTTGGCATTAACTATCTATTCTTTTAAATGATCAAAGAGCAACACAAAAAAAATATAAAGATTTAATATAAAATTGATAATAGATAAAAAAAATTAAATTTAATAATAAAAAAAATTGAAAATTATGCAATTCGATGCTTTAAAGTTCTTTTTGTTTCTATATTCAAGCTATGTCCTTAAGAGCTGGAATACCTGGCCACCGTTGTATCCTAACGGTGGATCCTGCTGCCGTTACTGTTCTCAGTTTTCGTTATTTCCTTTTATGTCCGTTAGAGGTTGGATATGATGATTTTTTTTTTTTTTCTTAATTTATGCTGTGGAATTTCAAATCTTCGCGTAGTCTTTTCTCGCCTGATGATTAAATTAATTGTACTTATTGGCTGTAATTTCTTTTAAATTCCAATTTTTACTAATTTTAAACAATTTTTGTTATATATTTGGCTATTTCTCGACTTTAACCACTTCTGATAGTTTTTATTAAAAATTTTAGTTAATTTGTAAAAGCAAATTCTCGTTAAATCTTTGTTTTTTTTTTTAAGCACTTTTAATAAATTTTTAGAATAAAACGAATTTTTGTTAAATCTTTGTGTTTTAAGCACTTTTAATAAATTTTTAGAATAAAATGAATTTTTGTTAAATCTTTGTGCTTTAAGCACTTTTAATAAATTTTTAGAATAAAACGAATTTTTGTTAAATCTTTGTGTCTTTACGCACTTTTAATAAATTTTTAGAACACAACAAATTTTAAATAGTTTTTAATCTTAATTCGTTTTTAATAAATTTTTATAATAAAAATTTTAAATAATTTTTAGTCTTTATTCACTTTTAATAAATTTTTTTTTTTTATAATAAAAAGGAAATTTCAAATAATTTTTAGTCTTTATTCACTTTGTAACGACCTTTCTTCGTTCGTTACGTTTTGCTGGAGTAGCAAAGCGGTTGTCCAGGTTCGTTATAATAGAATTTATATCTTCGGGACTGAATTTTTTTAGGAACCAAAATAAAAGCGTAGATTTTATATATTTTATTAATACTTTATTTAATTATTCAAAAACAAACAATTATAATGGTTATAATTTTAGATAAACAAAATATTATTATATATATATTATAAGAATTATATTATTAAATTATAATGGTTACAATTCAGATAAACAAAATATTATTTTCCAAGGATCGGAGAAATTTATGATTTCCGCGCGTGACTATTCAGTAGGGGTGGACTTATGTCACCTCAGTATATGAATTATACATAAGATCAGTTGCTGTCAAAGATGACGATGTTTCGGCGACTGGCTCTGGCTTATTTGCTATGAAGATTCCTGCCTTTGTACTAAGGGATGTAATAATTTGGCTGAATGATCAAAGAGAAAATTAAATGAAAATCAGTTTCCTACTTTGATCGAATTGACCAGTTAGACTGAAGTAGCCTGTAATCTAGTTTTGATCGAATTGACCAGTTTCCTATTTTTGATCGAATTGACCAGTTAGACTGAAGTAGCCTGTAATCTAGTTTTGATCGAATTGACCAGTTTCCTATTTTTGATCGAATTGACCAGTTAGACTGAAGTAGCCTGTAATCTAGTTTTGATCGAATTGACCAGTTTCCTATTTTTGATCGAATTGACCAGTTAGACCGAACTAACCTGTAATCTAGTTTTGATCGAATTGACCAGTTTCCTATTTTTGATCGAATTGACCAGTTAGACTGAAGTAGCCTGTAATCTAGTTTTGATCGAATTGACCAGTGAACTTGTAGCTCGCTTGAGCTCCAAGAGACAAGTTCCTCGTTCTGTAAAATGCGCGTTCTTATATACCGAATTGACCGGAGCTTTTCGGTGTAGCGTACCGGTAAACTTCGTTGTTCGTGTTGACTTTTGTGCTTTTCGTGTCTTTCTTGTGTATTTCGTGTATTGTCGTGTACTTCGTGTTATTTGCATTTTTGCGCACTTTTCTTCGCCTGACTTTTATGTTTGACATATTTCGCGTCTTTTGATTTATTTCGGAAAGAGAATTAAAATTTAAAACCACCATAAAGTGTTAGTTTTCAATTTAATTCAATTAATTATAACTTCCATTATTTAATAAATAAAATAAAACCCCAACGATATAAATATGTGCGTGATATTGCGGTAGGAGAATTAGTGCAAGTGTCTGATTGTAATTATTGTTTTGTATGATAGTTTGTTTATGTTAAAAAAACATATATGATTAATAATTGATATAGTGTTTATAATTTTGTGTTTTACTACATATAGTGGAAAAATAAACCAAACGAAGAATTTACGGCAGCAGTGGGTTTTTTACTGATGTGTTGTTTTTTTTTTCTATTGTAAAAATGTAAACAATGAGTGTTTGTTTTATTTCTTTAAATTCATTTTTATTCAATAAAGATATAAAGTGTGTTTTATTGTTTAATAATTGTTCAATGTATGATTATTTGTAATTCAAAATTCATGTTTTCAAGTTGTGTTTTGTTGGTTTGTTGTTATTAATTTTCTTTTTTCTTCTTCTTCTTCAGTTTTGTTTATTAGTCTTATCCGCGGCTTATTAACGCCTGGATTGCAGGTAATGTTATTGTCTTACCATCTTGTTAAGTAATAAAATAAATTTTATTCTTTTCAGGTTACATGCTGATCTTGTAGGGGTGAGTTGGGTTCTTTATTTGAATAGTCCATGGTGATGGTGTTGTGTTTTAGGCTGACGGTCTGACGTCAGATTTACACAAGAATTTATGTATGGTTGAAATTGCTTTATAGAAATTTCAGCCTTTACATTCTCTCCCCTCTTCGGAAGATTAAAATTTTGTTGTCGCATTTTATTTCACCCAAACCTTTATTACGCCTTTCCGACTGATTTTCACTTGGTACGCCTTGCCTTCGACGACACGCTGGAAATTAATTCTTTTACCTCCACCACGTTTTCTGCGGGCATCGCAAATAGCTTGGCTCACCTCTGGTGGATATTTGTCCACCAATTTTCTGACTATATCTGCTACTGATGGTTGCGATTCGGCTGCATTCTTTAATAACTCACTGTATAACTCGTCAATCACGGGTGGTGGTGGCGATCGATTTTGTTCATCAACCACATCGTTCCATGTACACTGTAGTACATCCTGGTCATCATTATCTATTTTTACTGGTGTCGAGGCTGCTGGAGCACGTGTTGGATCTTGGTGTGATTGTGTGTCACTGTTGTTCTGGTGGGTTTTTTTACATCGCCACCCAATGGCTTTCGGCAACATTTTCCAGTCTGACGGTCTTATTGTTGGTTGTATTTGGACATCTTCCATGGTTTGCTCTTTCTTATCAGGTTGGTTTTTGCGTAGCTTGTTTTTATCTCGTTTGGCTGTTTGTTCCATGGCGATTGGTAAGTAAAGACTGCGTGGTTTGCTCTTTTCTAATTTTTTTAGTTGTTGCTGCACACGTGCGGCTGTGCGCTTAAACTTGGTTTCCAAATCATCTACCATCCTTGATTTCTTTGATCGAACTTAGCTTATTAAAACACGCGTGGTCCTTATATACGGCTAACATCCTGATGATTTGCGCTTTTTGAACCATTACAGCAGAGTAGCCTTTTTTTTACTTTTTTTCTTTGCTTATTATTTTGCACTCTACACCCTGAATATTTTTTTTTTTGTTAAATTAGCCAACTGACTTGAGACAGTTTGTTAATGGTGAAAGTGATTATTATCTTTATTACTTTAAATTATTATTGACTTATATTGTTATGATTATATTATTATTACAATATTTTATTATTTTATATTTTATACGAAATGCAATAAATTTGTTTATTATATTTTTTTTCAAGTGTGGGTTTTTTTTTTCAAGTGTGGGTTTTGTTTTTATTTTCCATAGTATATTCGGAGGTCAGCGATATGAGCTTTGATACGTATATTTCTCTTAGAATGAGGCACGATTTCTCTTTCGTTTCTTTGGACTCTTGAAAATTTTGTAGTAATCATCTTGGTTTTTGACATGATGATGGTCATCCTTTCGTTTAAATGTGCCTAGACGTCTCACGAGAGTTTCTGGTTTGTTTCCTTTTTTGCTTGGTTGAACGACGTTCCATTCCTCTTGTGGTGACCATGGTTCTTGTTGACTGTCGCGCTTGACTTTATCCTTTGCTTGAGTTTCTTGGCTTGATAGTTCCATATTAAGGTTACTATCTAAAACATTGATATCTAATGGATCTAATGAATTTGTAGGTTGTACATGACGATTGTTCGATACTGGCTGTACTGTAGTAGAATTTCTCTGTGGCGATGTAGTTGATGACGAAGATGATGATGGACCAGACTGGTGATTATCTCTTGGTGGTGCTTCTCGTGGTGCTTGTTGTGGATTAACAGGATATGGCGGCTGGGGCTCAAGTTCCTTTGGTTGTAACGATGATTTGAAATCACTTTGCGTATGACACTGTGTCGTTTGCGACGATGATTTGAAATTACTATGCGAATGACACTGTGACGTTGATTTAAAATTACTTTGCGAATGACTCTGTGGCGTTTGCGACGATGATTTGAAATTACTTTGCGAATGACTCTGTGGCGTTTGCGACGATGATTTGAAATTACTTTGCGAATGACTCTGTGGCGTTTGCGACGACGATTCTGAACTTGTAGAAGTTGGTAACAATGGATGATTGACATGTGATGACTCTGGTACTATCGTTAAACGTTGTGGCAGTGTTGGACGTGATGATAAATCATGCTCTTCGATTTGACGCTTTTGTTCTCGTGGTTGTTGTACATCTTGTATTTGCAGTTGTAGGTTTACGTGATCTTGTGTAGAATATGCATTGGAAATTCGATGTTTACTAAGTCCTGGTTTATTTTCTTCGATAGGCGTAACACGTTGCGGAACTTGCTGTGGTTGTATTTCATGCGCTTGCACTTGATCTGGTATTACTCGGATTGGATGAAATACTTTTAGATTTTGTTTGATATATCTTGGACGTTGTTGTCGTTGTGCCTTTTGTATTTGAGTTTGTGATTCTTGACGATCTTGTGTGTATCGCTGTAGACTAAATACTTTCGGATTTTCTTCGATATGTTTTAAATTTCGCTGACGTTGTGCTTCTGGGATTTGGAACTCTTGTATCTCTTTGTTTGCTTTTGGATCATGCGATGGTGGTACAAGGCATTTACATGGCGCTTGCTCTTGTAAATTTTCTCGCAGTTTTACTTAATGCTTGTCTGGGTAAATCCGACATTGTGTGCTTTGTATTATACTTGGCTTGGATAGTGATGCTGTCTTTGAAGTTGCAATTTTATTTACTTCTGCTGTTGTTTGCTTATCTATTGACTGGTTATGTTGTTGGTTACTTTGCTGCTGGTTCCGGACAGGTGATACCGGGCCTCGACTATAGATATCTTCAATTCGTACTGGCGTCATGGATATGAGTCTCATTGTATTCTGTAATGGCATCGTTGGTTGATTATTTACAATACTATTTGTTGAACTATTACTGCTACTGTTATTACTGTTATTGCTGTCATTGGCTGCAACTGCTAGTGTTGAGGAATCATTAGAATTAGCTGTTTCATTCAAAATACCACTTAGATGATGTGATGGAGTTGAAGGAGTTTGTGGTTGTTGTTGTTGAGACGTAGATAGTGTCAATGGTGAGGAAACATGAGCTGGCGATATTGTTACTTGTGTAGAAGTCTGTTGAGGCTGAACTGGTGCCGTAATTCGAGTTTCGTTTACGTGGATTAGTCTTAAGTCCTTGCGGGGCCTGAATTCCGAGAGAACGGCTTCCCCGCTGTTGGCTGTCCTCTTATCTCGTTTCCCGGATCTTCCTTGCAGCAGTCAAGGGTTCGTGTGTTCTGTTTTCCACAGTTCCAACAAAAAAGAATTTTTGGACTTCGACAGATTCTTGCCATATGTCCCAATTTCCCACACCTTCGGCATGCATTTGGTGCGTCTTGGATTCTCTGCTCGAAAGATTGGACTAGGTGGTTTCTTTAATCTCTTAGCCTTGGAGGTCCGGTTTTCTCTTGTTCTCCCCGTATAGCTTCGTAATCACCAGCCATGTCGATTAGTTCTCCCAATGTTTCGAAGTCTCGTCGTCGGATATAAAGCTGGTAGTCCGGATGTGCATTTCGATAAATTCGTTCTAGTTGAGCAACGGCTCCTATACCTGCGTGTCGCATTAGAGTTTGGATTGCTACAACATAGTCTTTGAATGTCTCCCGTGACCTCTGACGGCGGGCCCGGATTTCATCTTCTAACTTCTCAAAGTATCTTGCCGGTAGAAAGAACTTGAGAAAGTCAGCTTTGAAAGCGGTCCATAATTTCCACTGGCTATTATTACTTCTATACCAATTTAATGCTTTATCCTTCAAAAGTTCTGGCATGGTACGTGGTATTGTGTTAATGTTTAATCCATGGGCTTCCACCAACTCCTCGACTCGTTCGATGAACATCAGCAGGTCTTTGCCTCCGTCATATTTGACAGACCATTTCCGGACTTGTTCTATAGTTTGTGTAACAGGCGGAATTGTTATTTGTACGTCGTTATTTAGTTCTTGTGTGATCGGTATTGTTTTTGTATGTTTACGCGCAAGGTCCCATAGCATTTCTCTCCGGACCATGTCATAATCTTCTTCGTCGATGTATGCTGCTAGTCTTTTTCGTAATTCCTCTACGGATCCACTCGTTTCTAGTTGCATTTCGGACAAGTAGTGGATTAATTCATCTTTCCGTAAGTTGTACAACCAGGATTTACTCGGCGTGGTAGGTCTTCGAAGTTCTTGGTCGCCAATGTCGACCCTTGTTTTATGTTCTATAGACATACTTGATTTCCTTTCGATAATCGAGTTTAATTTTTACCAATGTGGTTTCGTCCTGGTATTTTTGCGATAAATGTTACAGTCCCTCTGAAACTCAGTCCCTCTGAAACTCAGTTCCTCTGAAACTCAGTCCCTGCTCGGGCGCCAATTGTAACGACCTTTCTTCGTTCGTTACGTTTTGCTGGAGTAGCAAAGCGGTTGTCCAGGTTCGTTATAATAGAATTTATATCTTCGGGACTGAATTTTTTTAGGAACCAAAATAAAAGCGTAGATTTTATATATTTTATTAATACTTTATTTAATTATTCAAAAACAAACAATTATAATGGTTATAATTTTAGATAAACAAAATATTATTATATATATATTATAAGAATTATATTATTAAATTATAATGGTTACAATTCAGATAAACAAAATATTATTTTCCAAGGATCGGAGAAATTTATGATTTCCGCGCGTGACTATTCAGTAGGGGTGGACTTATGTCACCTCAGTATATGAATTATACATAAGATCAGTTGCTGTCAAAGATGACGATGTTTCGGCGACTGGCTCTGGCTTATTTGCTATGAAGAGTCCTGCCTTTGTACTAAGGGATGTAATAATTTGGCTGAATGATCAAAGAGAAAATTAAATGAAAATCAGTTTCCTACTTTGATCGAATTGACCAGTTAGACTGAAGTAGCCTGTAATCTAGTTTTGATCGAATTGACCAGTTTCCTATTTTTGATCGAATTGACCAGTTAGACTGAAGTAGCCTGTAATCTAGTTTTGATCGAATTGACCAGTTTCCTATTTTTGATCGAATTGACCAGTTAGACTGAAGTAGCCTGTAATCTAGTTTTGATCGAATTGACCAGTTTCCTATTTTTGATCGAATTGACCAGTTAGACTGAAGTAACCTGTAATCTAGTTTTGATCGAATTGACCAGTTTCCTATTTTTGATCGAATTGACCAGTTAGACTGAAGTAGCCTGTAATCTAGTTTTGATCGAATTGACCAGTTTCCTATTTTTGATCGAATTGACCAGTTAGACTGAAGTAGCCTGTAATCTAGTTTTGATCGAATTGACCAGTGAACTTGTAACTCGCTTGAGCTCCAAAAGACAAGTCCCCCGTTCTGTAAAATGCGCGTTCTTATATACCGAATTGACCGGAGCTTTTCGGTGTAGCGTACCGGTAAACTTCGTTGTTCGTGTTGACTTTTGTGCTTTTCGTGTCTTTCTTGTGTATTTTGTGTATTGTCGTGTACTTCGTGTTATTTGCATTTTTGCGCACTTTTCTTCGCCTGACTTTTATGTTTGACATATTTCGCGTCTTTTGATTTATTTCGGAAAGAGAATTAAAATTTAAAACCACCATAAAGTGTTAGTTTTCAATTTAATTCAATTAATTATAACTTCCATTATTTAATAAATAAAATAAAACCCCAACGATATATATATGTGCGTGATATTGTGGTAGGAGAATTAGTGCAAGTGTCTGATTGTAATTATTGTTTTGTATGGTAGTTTGTTTATGTTAAAAAAACATATATGATTAATAATTGATATAGTGTTTATAATTTTGTGTTTTACTACATATAGTGGAAAAATAAACCAAACGAAGAATTTACGGCAGCAGTGGGTTTTTTACTGATGTGTTGTTTTTTTTTTCTATTGTAAAAATGTAAACAATGAGTGTTTGTTTTATTTCTTTAAATTCATGTTTATTCAATAAAGATATAAAGTGTGTTTTATTGTTTAATAATTGTTCAATGTATGATTATTTGTAATTCAAAATTCATGTTTTCAAGTTGTGTTTTGTTGGTTTGTTGTTATTAATTTTCTTTTTTCTTCTTCTTCTTCAGTTTTGTTTATTAGTCTTATCCGCGGCTTATTAACGCCTGGATTGCAGGTAATGTTATTGTCTTACCATCTTGTTAAGTAATAAAATAAATTTTATTCTTTTCAGGTTACATGCTGATCTTGTAGGGGTGAGTTGGGTTCTTTATTTGAATAGTCCATGGTGATGGTGTTGTGTTTTAGGCTGACGGTCTGACGTCAGATTTACACAAGAATTTATGTATGGTTGAAATTGCTTTATAGAAATTTCAGCCTTTACAACTTTTAATAAACTGTCTTAAAATTTTCTTTTATCGGTTTTTAATGATCCGAAATGCACCACTTGCCGTACTCGAAAAATACAAAAAAAAGAGACCGAAACAAGCTTCCGCTGGCTATTTTATAGTTAGTTTGCCTAACTGAAAAATCCTCCTGTCGCGTTAGTGATCCTGTTAACTCTTTGTTTACCGCTTTGTTTACGCTCTTGGAAATTTTTCACCACTCTCCTCGTTGGCTTTGCTGGTTTTTGTTTTGTGTTTATTTATTTGTTTTAGGGTGATGACCTCTAAGAAAGCTTACTTTATTTTTCACTTCCAATAAAGCTTAAATTATATAGGTTTTATTGGTACTTGGCAATGCTATATTACGTCAAACTTCATTGTA